ATTTTTATAATATATTTATTTTTTCATATTACCAATTTTTCTCTTCTTTTATAAAAATGTTCACTTTTTTTTTATAGTTACATAATTTTTACTACATTACTTTTTTTCTGTGTAGACATTTTATATTTTTATGATGTTGAAATTAGTGTTTTATTAAATAAATAATTATTTAATGTATATATATATATTTTATATGATTTGTCTTGATTTGGTTTTTTCTCTCTTTACAGGATTTTAACACGGCGTGTATTCACCTTTTTTATATTCTAAATTAACAATTTTCACTTTTGATCATAATGTGGAGTTTTTTTTTTTTAATATTTTCATTGATTCTACTACCCTACGGTTTTTCTGTAATTATTGGTAATGATAATTTTTTCGTGATATTAACAAATTGGGGATGGATGTTGTAGTAGTAAGACAGTAGTATTGATTGCAGTATTGCACTAAGATACATCGAAAATTGCATTTTAAAGAATCTAAAATTGTACTAAAAATAATATTGTTTCGTTATTATTCATAAAATTATATTTACTTTATCTGCCATTAACTTATTGTAATTTATATATTATTTATAAAACAGACTCATTAGTATATGCGTAAATAGGGGGTACTTAGGAGTGCTTCACCACCCCTAAGATAAAAAATTAATAATTGAAAATTTATATAAAAATAGTGTTTTTCTTATTTACGTAGTTATTTTTATTTGATGCTTTTATTAAAAAGATTAATTGTTTATAAATATTAGTTAATTACATTGTCAGAAATACTTGAAAAATATTCCATTAATCATTGCAAGATAATACTAGTGTGAATATTATATATTATATATTGTATAATATTTTTTTAATTTGTGTATTTCTTATTACTGTATGACCTAAATAAAATAATATAGGTTAGGCTTGTTAATATTAATATTTATAAAATAAAATATTAGTGTATGTACATTGTTATGGTACATTTAGTGACTAAATTGAGATATGGTACTTGAGGGGTGTTTGTGAGGGTAAGTGTGAGCTACGTAATTTCAGCACTCCCAATATTTGGGCTTTAGTTGTGCCTATGCTCATTAGTTACAATTTATAAAGATGTATATATGATGTATAAAAAAATATATACATGTACTTAAAAATGTTATTGCATTAAACTGTAAGTAATTTTTTTAAATTTTCAAAATCCAATGTTTTTCGATTTGGAGCCAGTAAATTTTTATACTTCGAAAATCATCATTCTACGTTGATGTGATTGGAGCGTACTTAAAATAAACTAAATCGCTTAACGTCAAATCTTCCGGTAAACTAACAGTTTTCTTTCTCCAGTCAGTAAATCATTTACTATACGAGTACTTATGGTTTTAAATACGGTTTTTTTTTTTATAATTTTCAATGAACTTTTCATTGTTTTTTGTGTTTAATATATTATCTTATCTATAGGCATTGTAAATGCGATGAATCCGATAATCGCAATATGACGAAACCGATATGATTTTAAAAATAATCAATTTGTCAATCGTTTTGACCATACATACAATAATATCAATATACATATATATATAAACAATGTACATTAATACATTGTGTACTTCAGCCTTAAAAAATTTGGTAGTTTTATTTCATGAAATTTTTATAAAATCGTTTGAAAAGTATTAAAAATGTGAAATTATGAAAATTTAGAAAATAGTTAATATAGTTTGTATTAATGAGTGAAATCAAAAAAATTCATTCCATTTATAAAATGTTATTGTAATTATACAAAAAAGTTTCGCACACAAAACGAAATACGAATACACACGTTACAAATTACAACAGTTGAGAGACGAAATCGCAGTAATCCGCACAAATGAAATGATACCACAACGCGTCGTTGATGAGTGCGTGGAGGCTTGGAGGCACCATAGATTCACAATAGATGATTGATCTATGGAGGAACCGACAAGTGTAGTGTACCTTACCAAGACGCTTAAATTAACTCCACGGGTCGTACACAATTGATAAGAAAGCTGATAAACCATAAATTCAAAAAAAAAAAAATTCAAAAAAATATACTTGTACTCTTATGTATATATATTTATATGAAAAATTAATGCATAAGTTTATTATAACGGCATATAGGAGTGTTAATGGCGGGCCAATCGTCAAAAAATTTTAAGTTAGAAGTGCTGTTGCACACCCTGTCCCACACCAAATGACGCCCTTGTGGTCGACATAACACGATTGAAAAGGTTAAATAAGTAGATGGACAAGCTATAGATATGTATTATTTTTAAGTATTATTTTTAGGGACAATGAATTGTCAGAGTAAACAAAAAAAAAAAAAAAAAACTACACAATATTAATTTATACCTACAGCTGTGGCATTGAATGTCTGAAAATATTTTAATGCTAGGCAAAACGGAACGGCGTTAACGTAGAGGAGAAAAACGTTGAGTCTTGCATAGCATAGCAAAATATATTTTCAAAATATATTACAGATAATATAATAATATTGTAAATAGGTGTACGCGTTTGTTGCGTGCTCGAAGCGCATACAAAATCATATATTTTGCAACTCTGCCAATACTACTCTGCCACTACTTGCATACGGATTTATTAAATCAACAAAAACAGTACACAATATATTTACAAGGGAAAGAATAAAGGATAAAACAAAACATAAATATATACCTATATAATATATAGAAAATAGATAATAAATAATCAATTATTAATAATTCTAATAATTGTAATAATGTTTGATTCGTTCGCACTGATGTTAGGTTTCAGTAAAAACCTAGTAAATCCATATTTGCGCATTATTACGACGATGAATGTACAGCATCTGTATACTTCTACACACGATCTCTTTGGTCCGGGCAGCTAATTCCAGGCGCGAATCCAGAATAAATTTAATGGGAGAGAGGCGCATCAAATAATATCAATTCATTATCAGAGTTTATTATGTTTAATTATTTTGACACCAGCATAATGATGATTGAAATTAAATATACCTTTATGTAGACCATAAAATTAATATACAAAAAATTTTTTTTAAAAATATTTTAGTTTCTCAAGATTTTATTTTATTGCTTATTAAATGTTTAATTACATTACTTTTTCTAAATTTTACTGTAATTTATAATTTATGTTAAATCTTAATCAAATTTACAACTTAAAATTAGGTTAATTTCTTATTATTTATGATTTTCAAATTGCAAATGGAATTTTTCTTTTGCTTTTGGAGAAACGTTGAATTAATTTTTCAACATAAATCACTATGATCCTGTGAATGTTTATTAATGCAAGTCCAGTCAAACGTGGTTGATCGTAGCCATGTTTTAAGACGCCGCAATGAAGAGAATGACCTTTCAGAGCTAGAATTACTAATGGGTAAAGTAATTAATAATTTTTATATTTTATTTATTAAAAGAAAAACGTCTTCATCACAATTCTGAAATACTTCAAATACATTGTTAGAAATAACTTATGAATCCTTTTAATATTCACGTATCCATTTCTCTTTCCAAATATAGTACTCACAAACTAATTAAGAGGATATATAATTTTTATTAAGCAATTTTTGAAGTCCTTAGCAACTAATTTTATTATGTCAGTTTCTTCTTTTTGGTAATTTAGTAATTATAAAAAATTAGACGGAAGAAAAAAGATAACTGAAATAGTTCCAATGTATTTTGGGAAAAACTTGTTTTTAAGTCATCTATAATATTATCCAATAAAGTAATGAATATCAAGATTCTGTAATAGTCTTCTATGTTGTTAGTAGAATAGTTTGATTGATTTTTTTGTTTTTTACATAACCTAGGCATTCGTAATTCTACATCAATAATGTTTGCTAAATCTTTATATGATTTAAAAATATTTGAAAATTCTGTATTAACATTTTCACAGCATTTGGAAAGAACTTGTAATGTATCTTTTATAGTATTTGCTGCTGTATTGAAATCTAATTTTTTTTTTTTTTTTGGAAAATTTTGCTTAGGCAATGAGTGAAATTGAGCAAATGCGCAAAATAGCAATAATGGATTCACTGTCACATAATGTTTTTACAAGTATTTTTGCTTTTTCAGAAGTATGGGAATTTTTCCATGTAGTATTTTCAGTTAATGTATTAATAATTTTAGGCATGTCAGGTAAAAACCTTGTAACTCCATCATGTCTCTCAATCCATCTCGTTCCGTATAGTCCCGTTAGCTGATGGTCAACATATTTCTTCAAAATTACTATACGTTTTGTTGACACAAAAAAAACCCAACAACCTTTTTAATAATTCCAACTAAATTTCGTATACTTTGAACTTTACTTGATTTTGAAATCGAAATATTAAGAAAATGGTTGTAACATGGACATCTACGGGCATTCGGTGAAATTTTAGAATTTCAGCTACAGCTCCACAAATTTCTAATGTCATAACACTGCAACTATCAGTACGAATACCTACACACTTGTTAAGATTCAGACCCATTTCTCTCAGTTGATTTAAAACAATTTTCCCTAGAATTTTCCCAGCTATCGATATTTCTTCTATATTTTTGCAATTTTCATAATTTTCCAAAGAACTGTCAATATTTACTTCTTCATCATCACTTAATTTATTATTAGAACTCCTTAGTTGAATAAGTCTAGCTTCTTCAAATGCATCTACAAATATCACAAAATCTTTTCTAATTGTTATTTCATCAATATATCTTATAACTAAATTAATTTGCGATCGTTTTGACCCATCTAAGGTTTGATCAAAAATTATACTGTAAAAAATATCTTAATCTGAAATTTTTTTTAAAATACTGTCTAAAATTTCTTTACCACATAACTCGACTAATCGTTCTGTATTGTCTTACTAATATATGTTGCTTTTGAAGAAGAATTTTTCAAATGATTTTCAAGCATAGAATCTCCGGCCTTGACCCGAAATTTTAAAAGCTCTCTAATATTACCTTCGTTTATTGAACTTCTTCCATATTCAATAGTAGACGATAAATCTAGTTGGCCATCGTCTCTATGCTCTCAAAAGGGGATGTTTTGTCTTCCCAAAAATATAATACTTTCTATAATTGGAATAAGTCTTTCCGGATTTTATTTTATTTTTTACATTCGTTTTTATATCTAATAAGTTGTGTACCTATTTGAAGTTTGGGATTATTGTAATTTTGTAAAAGAAGTTAAGCCATTTTGACAGACTCATTGTGATATCTAGTGATTTCATGTCAATGTAAATTCCCTGTATCTCCTTGTAATTTTGCGAATTTTATCAGTGGTTGAGTAACTAATTTTTGTAATTCTACATTTCGTTGAAAACCACCTTGTTTTGTATACTAAGCAAAGAACAATGTTTACAATATAAACCTTGTTTTGATGGTGAAAGTACTAACTATATAAAATTATTTAAATATTGTTACCCAAGAAATCGACGTATTAATTTACCGTTTTTATTATGCTCAGAGAAAAGAAATATGTAATTTGTTGGTGATACCCAATGATTCACTAGGAGTTCATGCTTCGTATAAATGTCAATATTTTTTCCAATATAATCACCTATGTCATTAGAATGAAGATGGAAATCATGACTAGAAGTAGCTAATACTAAATCAATGTTCGAATCAAGTTCTTTTACTGAATTGTCTGAAATATGTTCTTTAGTTAGCTGCATTCAACTGTGATTTTTTTTTTTTTGAAATTGATTTGAAAAATTAATTTGTTTTTGAGGCAGAACGCTTTTTATCAGTACTTGTTGCCTATGAAAGTAAAGAAAATTTAATAGTTTAAAATCATTTTATGATGACAGTATGGCGTCACTATTGGAAAACAAATTTCGGTCAGAGGTATAAATAAAATATGTAAATAAATAAATTCAAATCTGTTTTCAGAATCCTTATCTCTTTACTGTATCAAATAGGTATATTTAAAATGCACAAAAGTTGATTTTTAATTCAAATCAGTGGCAATGTATTAAAATTCAAAAAACAAATTACTTACCATTTTTAAATACACTTGTTTTCTCACCACTCGTTAAACGCTGTGTCGTTGTCTGTGTTTCATAGGAATGTTTTATTATATTCAATATTGTAATAATAGAAATAGTCAATATAGTATGTGTGATTACGAAAATAACGTGAACGGTTTACGCCATCGTTAGCCGATGCCGACTTGATTATAAAAAAAAAAAAAAAATAGAAATTACAGAACTATAAATAGAACCGACCGAAACCATTATGAATTTTACAAATCATTATAATCAAATAAAAAAATTATGTAGAATAATTTTAAATATTGTATTTATATATTATATAATATGTATAAATATAATTTTTTTCCTCAGCTTTTTTTTTTTTTAGATTTGGGGGCCTTTGCTCCCATGCCCCCCTTGTATCCACACCTGGCTGATTCCGGTCATACATTATGTTCGTATACGTACTGAAGAAATAATTTCAAACGTTTTATTACAATAATTGTAATAAAACAAACGAATTATTCGTGTTCGCCCATAAACACCTGTGTGTGCACACTCGCACAGTTCAGTGGTGCACATTGATTTGTACACCTTAAACAGTGTTGTACATAGATAACCAAAATATTATCTAGATAAGATAACGGATAATACATTAAAATTTCATCTAGATAAGATAATAGATAACTGTTTAAAAATGTATCTGGATAGTATATTAAAGATAACTACATTTATCTAAATAAAAAAAATATTTTTAAATAATTTCATCATTCAGAACTTATATTTTAAAATGGTTATTTTTCTATGAATAAAAAAATTAATTATTGATTATGATTTAATTGGTTTAAAATAATCTTAATTAATTTTGCTAATTTAGACAGAAAAAAGTACATAAACCTATTTTTATTTCTTTTTATTTTATTTTATTAATCAGTTTACAGATCAAATTAATTTATTATAATTAAAAATGTACCTAGTTTTATGATATTTATGATTTAAACATATACCTAGATATTTAAGGGTTAGAAATCTACATAATACTTTCTATAGATGTATGTAACTCTAGTTTGTTATCTTGTAATATTCAAATTTAATTTGATAGTCAACAGTGATGACTCATTACTTTGTCTTCGATTTACAAATAGTCAAATACAAATTAAAATATATATAAATAATACAATATTTTACAAATTAATTTTATTGGAAAAAACACAACAGCGTTTTAAATATCTTTTCACATAAACAGTTCCTACTTGGTGTTAATATTAGCGCTGCTAAACAAGCGCTGGACAAGTGCAGATGAAGGAAATTATATTTAAGAAACCCAAGTTTGATTAAATATATCATCATTTTAAAACTATTCCATATAAATCGGTATATTATTTAAATGTTTATTATTGTTCGTTTCACTTCCCATAAATAAAATTATCTAGATAATTTATTTTAGATAACCATTTTATTTAAAAAGATGGATAGAAAAATACTTTAATTATTATTATCTAGATAATAACAAAGTGTTAATGTTTTTTTCTAGATAAATCTTCTAGATAATGCACAACACTGACCATAAACTTGCACCAGACTGAAACACGTCTGTTATCCGACAAAAGCAGAATTCGTATTGCAACTATTGGCGTACGCGAACAGTCGTCGGAAATAGTAATCCGTGTTAATAATAATACTTACACATCTATTGTGCGATTTTTATTATTCGAACGCTTCGGAATCGATCGGAACGAGCCTGACCTAAAAAAAAAAAAAACAACCAGCAATACAATTGAAAACGATAATTAATGATGTTTAAAAATCACGTATTGCACAAACATCGCAACATTATCAATAACAATAATGATGCGTGCACCGGAATTGTTTTATAATTATTTGGACGAACCGGAGAAGGTCCAGTCGAGTTATTGAACTTCCTGTAAACGATTTTAATCGCGTATTAACATAACATTTACCATTTATCGAGTTTAATAATTTCTGATCGTTAGTTTTGATTTTTTGATTATGACAAAAATTCTGCGATTGGCTATTCAGTTTTTGCAGTCCTCCGTTGTGGAACACAATACCTACATTTCATTTTAATTAAAAAAAAAAAAAAAAAAAAAAAAAAAAACGAATAATAATGAGCCCAATTAATACATCTATTGTTTACTTGTTGACAGTGAACCTTGATGGTTGTTTGTAAACTGATTATTACATATTTTTTACGGTAAAATAATGTAGTGCGATTCATATTTTAGTCACATACATACATGTCCGTCGCCCTTGGTGTTACATTTTAATGTTTTCCAAATTTAATGATACCCGTCTGGAATTCGCTTAAAGTGTGCACGCGTTTGATAAGCCATTCATTTTACATCGCTCACACAGAGTCACGTAATTTAAAGCACTATCATAATTTATAAGGATTTAGGTTACATCTGGGAAAAACGTAATTTAAATATAATTTGAATTTAAAACATTATTATGTATTATGTCAAGGATGTAATATTGTTAAAATTGCATAAATGTTTATAAGAAGAAGGAATATAATCGTATATATATATACTATAGGTACACATAACTGTTAATTAATTCAACATTGTTTTGATTTGAAATCCAACAAAGGACAATAAAACGGTAAGTTATATTCGAAATCAACAACCGTTCGAAAAATTAAAAAAAAAAAAAAACAAAAGAAGTTAGGATAATAAACAGGCAGGTGCAGGCACCGAGAAAAGACGCGTAAAAAGCCGGTGACGATATTATATAGGTACTGTTTTTTTTTTTTACGTTTTTTGATTGTTTCGATCTGCTCTCGGAATTTTGTTTCCGATTTCGATGACGCGGAATCATTTTTACGTATCACCAATAAACGAACGCGTGAAACATAAAACCCTACATTAACATTAAAATAATAAAAAATGCGACTGCAACCCGTGAGAACGTTCGTTATGTATGCGCAGCGATCATCGTGTAATTTTGTAGTGTACAAAGAGTAAATATATTTAAGGTCGACCGATGGACTGGAAACGAATTAATACCGTTTATGAGACCGGTACAATCATGCGTATGTGCTCAGCAGCTGTATATATATATATACAAAGGCGTGCTCAGGAATTTTGAAAATTTTGAATAGGGGGGGGGGGTTCAACTATTTTTAATACAATATTATAATCAATATGCATTATGAATTAAAATGTAAACATTTTAAGTACACAAATCATCATTTCTGTAGCATAAAACATTTATTAAATTAAAATCATAAAACAAATTCATATTCGCGAGGTTTTACAGCAAGCTCGTCAAGGATTACTACAGCTGCAAGTGGTATATTAATTTTATTATGCGAAATTTTAATTGTAAATTAAACAATTTCACAACTCAAAATATAAGCATAATTGTACAGATAAAAACAAATTTATACAAAGAATAAATTATATAATAATTATCAAAATAATCTGTGGTATGATATTACATGAAAAATTGATAACTTGAGAGTTATACTCGTATTTTGTCTTTGTTTGTAGAACACTATTGAACACGTAGTGACATCGATTAAATCGCAAAGCCAATTTTTCAACTGTTGTTTTGTGTACGATTATTTTTATCAAACAGTTGAGTTCGGTAAACTTTCCGGAGAAATATTAAACGAGAACGCTTTATAAGTACTGTGAGAGGTAGGGGGATCCGTTGCGCCTCACTACTTTAAGTCCTGGAAGAATAACTCCGAGGATTATGGGTTGCATACTACAATAGTATACATCACGACACTTCCGGTATCGATTGTAATTTTCGTTTTTTTTTTCCTAAAAATATTTTCGTTATATACTCAGTTCCGATTTTACGTGAAAATAGTGTTCCGTTTCCATCGATCTCGGTGCATGTACTTGTCCGTACGCATGTTTTATTTTTTTATTTATTAAATAACGGTTCGGCGTCTACGGTTGTTTTAGCCTATATAAACAAAGCAATAAAGGGTACACAATTTTAACTTGCAGATTAGATTGACATTTTTATAATTACAAACAACACCAATGCGATTGATTTTTACGAGGGATTTTTTCGCTGTTGTTTTCGCCGAGTTTCTCCTACGTTTTAAGGTACGTAAAATTTGATACTTGTGTTTCGATACTCTACGCCAGCGGTTCCAAAACTTTTTTTTCTGCGGTGCCTTTTTTTTTTGACCCAATCAAGTCACGGTGCCCTGGCTGTGAATAACATTAAAGACAGAATAATAAAAAAAAAAAAATCTATTGATAACTGATTTCATTAATTTTAATTTAATTTGACCTAGTTATAAATTAACGCACTTTTAAACTTAAAAAATAGATAGGTAAAAATTATTGTTATTATGATTATAAATATACAAAAACATTATAAGGTTAAAATGAGAATATCCGATTATACAATAGGAAATTTCACATTATTTGCTATAAAGTTTTTACAAAAACAATAAGGAAAAATCAATCTTATACATTTTAAACTATTTGATATGAACGGTAGACTGCGGTCTCCTAAGAAAGTGGTCGTGGTGCCCCTAGGGTGCCGCGGTGCACAGTTTGGGAACCGCTGCTCTACGTGGTCTTGGATGAGGTGATGAATGGATAGGATTTCTTGGGGTTTTTCACACGCTAGTGGCAGATTTCCACTTATGAGATACGAATGGGTAGTCAAGGTGCACCTGATTCTGATTCTTGTTACGACGACTTCCTGTT